ACTACAATTATTGTTGCCATTGTTGTTGTGTTCGTAGTTGTTGTAACAATTGTTGTTGCCGCTGCATTAACTGCTGACACATTGCGTTCAAGTCCAGCTCCTTTCGCAGAAATTGCCACTGCAATTGTTTTTGCCGTCTTCTCTGGCATTTCCATACAACAAATGCAAGAAATAACATATATATATATATATATAGATACATATATTTTATTTGTATATAGAGTGAGTCGCATACAACGCACCTACAAAATATTTCCCTCTGGCAGCTCCTTCTTTTGCGGCTTCGCCCTCAGCGCGAAATGTGTTTTTCACATTATTTCATGAATAATGCATTTGGCTAATATGCATATTTTATGTGAAATTCGTGCAATAAAATACTATTAAATATTTAGTTGTTGGCAACGCCAACTGCTGTTGCTGTAGCTGCTGCTGGTGCTGCCGGTGCTGCTAGCATTGCCACCAACGTGGCCTCTGCTGCCACCAAAGGAGTTTCATAGTTAAGCAAAGAACTTGCATACCTAACGAAAGATGAGCCCGAACGGTTTTTTGTTTTTGGTCAACAGCTGTTTGAGCAATGCCAAACAATGAGAGATAACAGATACAATAACAACTAATCGATAGAGGTATATAAATGATAGCTGCAGAGCAAGACTAAGATATAGATAAATTAAGAAATTCGGAAATGAATGAATAAATGAAAATAAAAATGTATTGAATGAGGAAACTTTGGATTGAATAAAAGAAAGATAGACTTATAAATAGTAAAAAAATATTTGCTATATAAATATATATTTCTTTCCATTTATCTTATCGATAGAGTATTAGATAATTGGATAGATAGAGATCGATTGATAAATAGATAGATTGATAGATACATAAGTATACAGACAGATATAGATAGACAACAGATAGATAGATATGTAGAAGGATAGATAGATAGATTGATAGATAGACAGATATAAGGATAGATAAATAGATAGAAGGATAGATAGATAGATAGATAGATAGACATATAGATAGACATATAGATAGATGGATAGTTAAGGGATGTACAGATACATGGGAACTATAAACAGTATAAAAATATCGATGGATAGGAGTTTATTTCCTTCAGTTCATACTTAATTTTCGAAATAAGGTTGCTAAGACTTTTTCTAAATATATACTCAAATTCTTGAAATACTTTATTTTATTTCATTTTTTTTATTTATTTTATTTCCTCTACTTTAAATAAAATTAAAATAAAATCTTATTGATTTTGAGGCATTTGTGTGTTTTTTGGTATTTTGGCCCACTGTGCGATGACTGTGTGGTGCGACAAGCTGAAGCACTTTAGAGCGAACTAGGAAGTAAGGTCCTTGAGGATGTTGGGGACTTTGTCGCGTATGCGCAGGCAGAGGAGTTGCCATTTAAATTAATTATTTATTATGCCAAGCATTGCTTCTTATAAAATTAATGAATGGCATGAGCGCAAAAACTATAAAACCGGGCGCGGATAAAAGACGCGACAGTCGGGCGAGCGACAAGGAGACAGACAACTTGTAGAGGGGGCGAGCAGCCAAATGAGAGGGGGCGTGTGCGTGCGGTTGGTTGAGTAATATAAATAAATGAATGAATGAATGAGCGTCGAAAGCAGCAGCAGCAGCAGATAGAGAGGCATAAGAAACGTGGAGGACGGCATGTCTGGAAGGAGATGGCCATATCTAGTAGTTGGCAGTAGTAGTAGTGAAGGCTAAAAAGCAGCAGGCGCACAGCACACGCAGCCAGGGCCGAAAAAGGAAGCTCAAGAAATGGCCAAGAGCAGAAGGCAAAGCAGGTGGTGCGACTGTTCCTTAAGAGCGAGAGAGAATGTGAGAGAGAGTGTGTTTGTGCGGATTGTGGTTGCAGACAAGAGAAATAACAAACTTGAGACGCCGCTGTCGCTGCTGGCGTCGCAGCTGACGTCGCTGCAGCAGTAAAAGCACGAATCGAAAATGAATAATAAATAAAGTGTTATATAATATAAGAAATATAGTCTGCTAGCAAGCTAGAGTGAGAGAGAGAGGCTAAAGGGGAACGGTGTGGGTGCGTGTGGCAAGAGGAAGCAACAAACTACAGCGAAAAGTTCTAAGGCAACAAATAAGGAAGAGGTGGGAGAGGACACCGCGACGCGTCTGTAGTTTATAGTGTAAGCCCTTCCTTCCACCCACAAATGCTATTGCTATTGCTATCTGTGATGTATGAAGGGCTGAATGGGCATGGTAGTTGGTGGGCGGGTGGCTGGCTGACTGGCACTGGGTTTTCGGGGGCTGGTGTTGAGTTTATGTGCTCGCTTGAAAAATAAAATTAAAATTGCATTAGGAATCCAACGGGTTTTTATGGCCGCGTGGTTGGGGCGTGGCAGACGCAACTTGAAGGCTGTTGAAAGACGTGTGTGTATGTGTGTGTGTGTGTGTGTTAGTTAGGATTTAAGTGCAAGGGATTGATAAGCCCACTCTATACGTGCCATATATTTATATATATATCTGCCAAAATCAATAAAAAAAAATTAAAAGGAAAAATAGAATAAAAAATAATAATTTCTTTTTATAGAAATTTTGTAGCGCATAAAGTTAATTAAATAAATTATTATGTGAATGGGGCGTGTGCACACGATGAGTAATTGGCAAGAACAAGAAGACGATGAGCCGCAGCAGCAGCGGCAGCAAAGCAAACGTTGACGTCGACGTCGACAGCGAAGCGCCGCAAATTAAATTAAATGAGTTGAAAGAAAGTTGAATGCGCGCACGCTTCAAAATTGTTGTTGTTTTTTGCTATAGTCAGAGCTGCTGTTGTTGTTATTGCTGCTGCTGCTGCTGGCGGGAAATTGAAAATTTAATTAATTAAACATTTTTGAGCACAGCAGCAGCAGCAGCGGCAGCGGCAGCTATATTTTATTATATTGTATGTCGTATGTATTGTGCCGAGGCGAGTCTTATAATTGTTAGACGTGACTTGGCTAAGTGAGGGGGATGAATGCTTAGATAGCTGGGGGATGGGGTTATATAGCTATGAAGGGGGAGAGGGTTAAAAGGTCGTCATAATGCATTGGCAAAATGACTGGCGAAATGTACAATGTAGAAGTGACTAATGGCTGCCCTCGTTGTAAACAATTATATGAATTGATATGTGAGTCTTGGAAGAACTAGTGTGAATAATTCGAATTATCTTGCACATGCTATCCAAGTAAACTTAGTTATATACAGTTAAATTATTATGATCATATTCATTTCAATCATCATCATCATTATTATTATTATCATAGGATTTAATGTTGTCTTCACAATACTTTTTTTTTGGTTACTTGCTTCCAATTGTTTTTATCATTATCATTGTCATTGACATCGTCTTTAGGATCACCATCATTACGATTTTTAATCCACATCATTTTCATTGACCAGTATCATCATGATTCCCTAATATTAATAACATTATTAGCAAACATTTTAGTCATCATATTGAGGTTCTACTCTCTTCGCTTTAACGTATCCGCCTCTCACTACACCCCACTGCACAGCCATTACAAAATATGAAATGCATTAAGACAATGTATAATAACTCGTAAATACATTTATTCATTCTGCAACCGATCTCCCAACCCTTTCGTGCCTAGTTAGCTGGCTGCCTGGATGCCTAGCTAGCTGCCATGCCAGAGCCTAATTACGTGTTTTACATAACTCCCGACAATTTTTGTTACTGGTCCGGGCCAATTCTCATTAAAAGTGGAGCAACAACAAGTTGCGCCGACTGCCCTGACGCTTTGCCATTAACAAAATGCTTAACATAAAAAAGCATTTTTAACGCCATTTTGCGCTCGTGGCGCGGAGGCCTTTGGGGGCCAGCGCGACGTGCCGCGTAGTCTAGTGTAGAAGAAAAAAATTGTGAAAAAATTCTACTGACTTTTCAATTTCAATTATTCATACATTTTATGACCTTTTTCCTTAACATGCAGAGGCTAACAGTCTAACAAATCCAATCCAAACATGGCCCAAAACCCGTTTCAAATATTTAAGACTTGCACTTCCAGACACACACATATATATATATATATAGATTTATATATAACTATATACATATAGATATGTATTAGTATATGCTGTTGCACATAATTTGTATAGCGCTCTTGCCTGTTGGCCATATAAAATGCATGGCTCTGTGCAGTTGGGGCTCCGCTGACGGCTGACGAGCTGTTGGCCGGCCTGAAAAACTAAAGATATGGGCGGCGCTACGGCCTGGTCAGCGTTAGCCAGTGCATCCTGTAGAAGGTGCAACCGTTTTTTTTTCTCGCGAAATTAACGACGGCTTTGCCTTCATTTATTTAACACTTGACGTTTTGTTTTTTCTAGCTTTGTGCTTTTATTAATAAATATTAAGAGCTGTTGCAATTGCCTGTGCCTCAAGTTGCGCTTTGGTTGGCGCTCATTTTATGGCTACACTGGCAAAAAAAAATTGTTTTTTTTTTATTTTTTTTTAGTTCACTTTGCTGTCTTATTCAAAAGCCTTTTATTTGGATATCTTTAATCTGTAATACCAAAAAGCTACACTCAGCGAAAGTTTGGTCAAAAGGAAGTTCTTTGTGAGCGACTTCCTCTACTCGCCCATTGATTAATTTTGGCTTGAGTGTAGTCAAGATAGAGTCATAGCGGATGGGAGAGCGGGCGGTATACATATCTAATAATAGCAATAAATAAATAGCTGTTGTTGGGCCATAAAAATGCTGAAGACAAAAGCGGCAGCAAATCGTTGTGCTAGCCAAGTTTGTATACTAATTCGCATTGGCGTTTGCATACCAAAGCGCTTTGGGCCCAGCATTTATGGCATTAATAAACTTTTATGGCCAACATTTTCGCAAGTCGCTGCTCTGCGGTCGCTGCCTTTGTCAACGGCAACGCCGTCGTACAGTACAGTGAAACATACTGTAAACCTTTGAAAAAGTAAACGACAATTTTGCTTATCTTCCGCTTCTCCTTCTCCCGTTGCAGGCCAAAATGATTGAGACGAGCGGACATGCCTGGATGGGCGCACCGGCAACAGGCGCATCTGTGGCGGGTAAGTCAAAGAGCGATAGAGAAAGGGCGTGAGGGAGGGAGGGAGAGCTGCCGTCGTGCAAACCAATTAGCATAGTCCGGAACAGGGCAACTAAGTTTTTGTATATGTTTTTGCCTTTTCTCCAGCAGACAGCTATCAATACCAGTTGCAGTCCATGTGGCAAAAGTGCTGGAACACTAACCAACAGAATCTGGTGCAACAGCTGCGCTTTCGTGAGCGCGGCCCACTCAAGTCCTGGCGCCCGGAAGCCATGGCCGAGGCCATATTTAGCGTCCTAAAGGAGGGCCTGTCGCTGTCGCAAGCGGCTCGCAAATACGATATACCCTATCCGACATTCGTGCTCTATGCGAATCGCGTGCACAATATGCTGGGACCCTCGCTCGACGGCGGCAGCGATCCGCGGCCCAAGGCACGCGGCCGACCTCAACGCATTCTGCTGGGCATGTGGCCCGACGAGCTCATACGCAGCGTCATCAAGGCGGTTGTCTTTCGCGACTATCGCGAGATCAAGGAGGACATTAACGCGCATCCCTATGCCAATGGACAGTCGCATGGCGTAAGTTGTCAAGAATACCTCAAATATTTCTGGTATATTAATAGATTAAAGCGCTATAATAAAGGACAATCAATGAGTATTATAGAAAATTCAGCAATTTCTTTATAAAATCCACAAAAGTATCTGTTCTTCGAGCTACTATTTAGAAATTTGTCTGCTTTTTGCTGAAATTTCCTTAGAAATTCTGCGTCGTTTAAACTACATATTTTGAGCCACATTAGAAGACTTCAAAAAAAGAAATAGATTTTTAGACTCAGTCTTATAGAACTATCATATGATAAGACAACTTGTTGTTGATCTAAGCTTATAAATATATCAAAGGTAAGCTAAGACTACAGCGCTTTCAGTTTGATTGAGATATTTTTTTATTATACGAAAATCATGATTTTTATCGAAGACTTCTACGATAGCTGTAGCTTGCAGCGATAGTTTCTATATCAAATTTAAGCAAAATTTTATTAATATAGCCAGCTACACATCTAGTTTGCATATAAGCTGACGATTATCTATATGTTACATAAATACAGTTCGTTAATCGTGAAGATCAAACAAGATAAAACAGAAAACTAGAAAATTAATATATGCGATTGTTACAAGCTCGTCTAAGGGCCATCAAGATATCTTGAACAAACTTTTACACACAAAATTTAGCTTTCGATATTTATATTTACCTGAACTATCGCTATCGATATTTACACGAGCTTCAATCGATCTTAACGCACTTTCTTCCCAATTTCTCTTCACCTTCTATTCGACTTATAGTCGCACTATGGCAGCAACTCGGCAGCTGCTGCCAATGGATATCACAGCGCAGCCGTCAAGATGGCACCGCCCGATGGCAGCAATCCGCTGAGCACCATGACAGAGACGCTGCGACGTCAGATACTTTCCCAACAGCAGCAGCAACAACAACATCAGCAGCAACAACATCAACAATCGCCGCACATGCAGTCGATGAACATGTACAAGTCGCCAGCCTACTTGCAGCGTTCAGAGATCGAGGATCAGGTGTCGGCGGCAGCAGCTGTGGCAGCAGCCAAACATCAGCAGAACGAGCGACGCGGCTCCGAAAATCTGCCCGATCTGAGCGCATTGGGTCTGATGGGCTTGCCTGGCTTGAATGTGATGCCCACGCAACAGCAGTCGGGCGGGCACCAGCGCAGCGGACCGGGCAATGGAGGCAGTGCCGGTGGCGCCATGCATCCCAATGCGGCCAGCTATGCTCGTGAGTTGTCGCGCGAGCGAGAGCGTGAACGAGAGCGAGAGCGCGAGATGTCGCGAGATCGCGAGCTGAAGGAGGCAATGCATGCCCGACAGTATGGGAATCATTCGCGCGGTTCGAACTCTTCGGCGGGCAGCAAGTCGGCGGCATCGAGTCGTCCCGGTGCCGCTGCCTCACCCTACTCCGCGCACTATGCCAAGCACGCCAAGGAGCATCCCAGCTATGCGTATAACAAGCGCTTTCTCGAAAGTCTGCCAGCGGGCATAGACTTCGAGGCAATAGCAAATGGCCTGCTCCAGAAGTCGGTGAACAAAAGTCCGCGCTTCGAGGACTTTTTTCCCGGCCAGGATATGAGTGAACTGTTTGCCAGTGCTGATAGCAGCGCCGGCTCTGGCGCTGGCTCAGCGGCGGCGGCAGCAGCAGCAGCTGCAGCAGCGGCTGCCTATGCGCCGGCGGGCATGCGTGAATCGCCGCTGATGAAAATCAAATTGGAGCAGCAGCAGGCCGCTGAGCTGCCGCATGAGGATTGAGTGGAGAAGATGCGGCCAGGCCGCTGGGTTGGCGCTTTTGAAGAGGCCAACTGTAATCAATTTGGACTGCTATTTTAAAATGCCCCCAACAAAAAAAAACCACCCCCACCCCCTTAATGTTTAGGTTATTTTAACGAGGTTCCAAAGACCGAGTTTTGAGAATGCTTGCAACATAGGCTTAAGGCACTAGAATTATAAAACGGTACGAGTATTAACGTTACCCCACCACCAGCCCCAACACACACACGCAAACACACCGACACATACACATGCACTTCAGAACTTTCCTGTAAGGATAAGATCTCGCCTATTATTTATTTATGCATTTCGTATGCGCCTTATTTTCTTTGCCACTAAAAAAAGAAGAAGAAAAACAGTTAATCCAATTGTTTAACATTTAAATATATATATAAATATATATATATAAAATAACATATATATAATTACTTGATACAATTAACAGTTACAATTAGAGACTTGTGCATTTCTTAAATGTAGTTTAGAGTTTAGTTTAGCCACACGCACACACATGCGCACACCCGCACACAGACACACTCATAAATATTCATATTACGCATACGCAATGTTGTCTTTCAAGTAATTAGATTATAGTACATATTATATATATACACATAATAAACACAGCCACACACACACACACACAGACAGCAATTGTATTTCCAAATGTAAATGTAAATAATGTACAAATTTCCATAGCTATAGGGTATATACAAACTGTAACGGACTTAGTCTTAGGCACGCACAACTTTTCTCTATATTGTAATAATCCCCCGAAAATTAATTAAAGTAAATAAAGCAAAGTCCCCGATAAGTAAATAGATATATAGATATTATAGATATGAGTATGCGTATGGTATGTGTGCTAATTTTATGTAATACAAACACACACACACACACAGGCACACCAAATCCCAGTGAGAGGACACACACACACACAAACATACACAGCTATTTAAATGCATATGTATTTGTAAGATGTTCTTAATGAGTGAATTATCCATTAACAAATAATGAGCGTAATGCATAATTCATTATTATTATTATTATTAATTATTATTATTATTATTATTTTAGTTAAACCTAAATTATATGCAACTGAAACAGAAATAAAAGTGAAGAAGTAAATGTAAAAAAATAATTTATCTTATGTGATTTTATTTGCTTGGCTGGGCATGGAAATAAATTGCAAATAGAATTGGAAAGGGTATTCAAGTAGTACTAATTTAGACAGTATATAAAATTGATAAATGAAAGAAGTTCTGTATATAAATAGAAACTTAATTAAGTATGCTTAAAAGCTGAGAAGAAATAAAAGCCTGACTTCTAAGCTCATAGATAAAACAAAGATTCGACAGACTTAAACATGACTATATATCAGTTGAGTATTATATGCTGACTAAAGCGATATATATAAAGCTTGAGGAATTCTTCTAAAAGTTATAAATAAATTGCCACAAAAGAATTGCAAAACTTAGGCCCCTAAGCTCATACAGAGATAGATAGACACGTCTTTGAACAAAGATTAAGATTAATTATATAATTTATAGCGTCAGATATTACTGTTTTAGCTTTGAAGGTGGATTAGATTTACTATAATATACCTTATTTTCGCGAGCAGAAATTGAAAGAAACTGTTAAATTATTGCTATAGTGAGCGCCTACTTCTCAGTAGCTTATGATGTTAGAAGAGTTTGTATGGAGACAGCACATAGATGAGGACGACGAGTTGGAAAACTGATTGATAGAGAGGCAAAAAGAGCGAAAGAGAGAGATGCCGAAAGACGGATAACAAAACAGACAGAGACAAAACGAAAGAATGAGAGAAAAAAGAAAGTGAAAGACAGACAGAAAGACGAGAGGGCGAGGGAACTAAACAGAAAAAAATGAGAGAGAGAGTCCGAACGAGGTGGACAATAAAGAAAGCAATATATAGAGAAAGAAATAAAAAAGTTAAGTAGAGTGAGAGAGAGGGAAGGAGAGTGAGAGACAGAGAGAGAGAGAGACAGGCAAAAAGTAAGGGAAAAGAGACAGATTAAGAGTATCAGAGAAAGATGGAGAAAAAAAAAGAAAAAGGGACAGAGTGAAGCAAAATGTTTGAAACAAAAAAAATAATACGAACTTTAAAAGAAATTAGTCTCAGTGCCTCAAGTATGCCTTAGCAAATTAGAGAATGTAACGAAAAAAGACGAACGTGATATATGGAGAGAGCGGGAGACAAAGGCAGAGTATGAGCAAGCATACTGTTCTCCAACTCTGTCCCTCCCAACTCCTAGAGTAGCCAAGCAGATAGTTGAGAGGCAACATAATGAAGAGATTGTTAGGTATCACGCTCTAGTAGCTCTGCTAGCAAATTATATGAGCTGCCAAGTTAATAAGCAGTCTGCCCAACTGTTGCAGCCAAAGTTAAAAATCTACCAAAATTACAAGCAACAGGCAGCTGGCACAACAAACAAGTTAAACAGCTGCCAACAGGCGCCGCCCAGCAACATTCAAGGTCAAGTGCCAAGTGAAAGGGATGTCAAAGTTGTTGTTGCCGTTGATGGTGAAAGAAAACACTTACTTTGGCACTTAACAGCTTAACACATCAGTTTACACGAATGCAAAACTCGACTCGAGCAGCTGCAGCTGCTATGGGGGGAGTGGCCAGAGCCAAACCAAAGCCAAGGGCCAAGAGCGAAAGCCATAGCAAAGCGGGCGCTTAGCCAACTCGAAGGGGATGCTGAAGATAGAGCCATAGGGAGACGACCCTCAGAGTGTGCTGCCGTCATGACAAACGTTCAACTGTAATGCTCAAGGTCATTTGGGCCAGGCCGCAGTCAAAAGGAGCTCTCTTGTCCAGGAAGCAGACATTGCGGCGGAAGCAGCCAGCACCCTGTGCAGCATGCACAAGGCAGGCCAGGACTGACTGGTTGGCTGGCTGGCTTGCTGACTGGCTGGCTGGCTGGCTGGCTGGCTGGCTGGCTGGTCGGCCATGAATGGCAAGTGGCTTTCATCTTGCGAGAAGACACCCACAGCAGCAGCAGCAGTAGCAGCAGCAACATCAGAGCGAACAGCAACAACAACAACAGCAGACTGGGCAATAAGGACAATAATCGCCTGGCAAAAGGGTCCTCGGTCAGCCTTGAATGGGAGGCGAGGTGAAGGCGAGAAACGAGGCGACCCACAAACAACTTCCTTCTGGCCAAAAGGACTGCATCTGATTGCCTTCAGTTGGCTGACGTCCTTGCCAGCAATGCGGCTGTGGTTGAGCACAGGCTGCCTGTTGATGTCTATGTGTGTGCCCGCTGTATGCGTGTGTGTGTGTGTGAGTCTGTCTGAAGTTAAGCACTTGCGGCTGCTTCAAGCCCAAATTCCCGGCTGCCTCTCAGACAACGAGGAGGACAACGACAACGACGAGGACAAGGACAAGGACGTTAAGCAACGAGCAACCACTGCTGCCGCTGCTGCTGCTCTTGCTATCCATCTTGACAAGTGGCTTGAGCATGTGTGTGTGTGACAACATGTGTGTGTGTCTGTGTGTGTTTTGGCTTAACTGTTTGCGACGGACAGACTTTTGGCTTTTGGGGTTGGGTGCAAAGATGGCGACGTTTGTTCGGAGAAATTACAGATAATTTGTTAAATATGGCACAGAGTAAGTGCAGTAAAAGAGGGGGCCAAGTGAAAGTGCATACAGTGTGGGGTGAAGGAGAGACAGAGAGAGAGAGCGTGAGAGACAGAGGGAAAAAGAGAAGTAGCCAGGCTAAGCTACCACATGCCACACCACATGCCAAAAGCAAAGTGAAGTCAACTTGAATTGAGTCCGCGTCGAGAGTCGAGACATTTTGCCAGACAACTCTAGCTGTGTGTGTGCCCGTCTCTCTCCCTGTGTGTATCTGTGTGTGTGCGAGACGGCATTCCTCAAGGTTGTTGCTTGCGACATGATTTCAATTTTATTTTAGCTGCATGCCTGTGTGCGAGCAAGTATGTGTGTGTGTGTGTGTGTGTGTGTGTGTGCGTGAGTGTCTGTCAGTGTCTTCTATTAAAGAAATTTAACCTAGCTTGTGTGCTTCGCTCTCTTTTTCGCACACACGCCTAGCTCCATCTCGCTCTGGCATTGGGCTGCACAGCAGGAAGCTGTTGATTTGTCGTGTAATGTGGCAACATTATTTGCTTGATTGCTTTATTTTACGCAAAAGGTGTTTGTGGCTTGACACCCATACACACACTCACACACACATACACTCATGCAAATTTCAGCTATGAACATCTTGTGAATGTTTTTGCTTGAGCAAATGTTTGCCTGTCGAAAATTTGTGTGCTTATTTATTGGCTCACTTATAGACTGGCTGGATGTCTCGACTGCCACGCCCCCTTTCATGCTGGCCTCCTCTAGTGTGTGTGCGTCTCTTGGCCAAGTGCATTTTGGGCAAATCTAAATGGCAAAGAAAATATTTTGTGTAAATAGCCTTTCGATTCATCTGCAATTGCATAAGAAACTGCATTTTGAGATTTATGGCCAAATACACTTGTGGCTTGGCTTTTTGGTCAGCACACACACACACACAAGTTACCACACTTGTGGCAACGTGTGAAAGTGTGAATATTCCTTAAGGATGCTTTTGCTTGCATAATTGCATGTGATTTATTGAGTTTACAGCCGGCTTGAGGTGAACTCAACTCAACGCCTAGACTAGGCAAATACCAAATGCAGATTCACATCGAAAGTGAAATTCCTTACAAATCTTGCTGCAATCCTGATGCAATTCTGTTGGCACTTAAATAAATTTATCAAACGTGTGGCAAAATTATTTAAAGTCTCTGCATAACTTAGATAAGTCAAATTAGACATGAATTGTTTGCCATTTGCTGCCTGAGCAAAGTCTTTAATTGTTTGCCAAAAACAAGACAGTATGGGTTCAGCATGGGGCAGCTTTAGTAGCTGGATATGCTGAGTTGCAAGCTGGGTGAGCTGATATTTGGTGTCTTGCTGCTTGCTTTGAAGTTGTTCCTGCGTTGCTTCTGCTTGAAGAGATTTTAAGTGAAATTAAATTGATTTTACTTACTTTAAAATCTATAAGCTGTCTGATGCTTCGTATAGAAGCCTAAGCTATTTCTTTCTTAATATATTTTGCTTAATTTTAACTCTAAGCTTTCATAATTTTGCTGCCATATGCTGCGTAGTTTGACCTTTAATATGCTGCCTATGCAGCTTCTTTCTTAAGAGCTTTTGCTTACTTTTAGATCTATAAGCTGCTTCCGGCCTTGACCTCTCGATAGCAGCCTTTGCTGCCTTTTCCTTTAGATTTTTCATAGGTGCAACGCAATTGACTTTGCTTACTTTCAAATC